CTTATAAAGGTATTTTCCCAAAATTCTTCTTCATTTTAAAATTCCTCGCTATAGAAAATATTTCTTTTTATTTTGTTTTACCATAATGTAAAATATATTTATATATATACACTATATTGTTAGTATATATAACAAAAATAAAATACATAATTTATTATGTAATAAATAACTTTATTTGACCGAAAGAAAAACGTGTGAAATTATTTTTAGAATATTTCCGTTTTGAGTGAAAGCATTTTCATTTCATGAAGTTATTTAAGAAATAAATTTTTAAGTATATGTGTGTGTATTAGGTAGATAGTATAAACTTATATATTATTGACTAAATTCTTCTGTATTTTTTTTTATATAAATTTCTTCTTTTTCCGAATTTATTTTACTTTAAAATTGATAGTATAAATAAAATAATTGTTTGAGTATTTTTCATTCTCAATAATTTTTTATACAAAATAACGAAAAATATTCTAGAAAATTATAAAAACAGTGAAACTATAAAATAAAAATTATACAAATTTTAATTAAACGCTTGTATTTTTGCTATATAGTGCCTTCCTTTTGAAAAGTATTGCAATTACAGACTATTTAGAAATTATTATAAACGTAACGTTGATTTACAACCATTGTAATCATAATTTTATAAAATCCTGGCGTATGTGTAAAATTCTGGGGTAATATATATATATATATATATATATATATATATATATATATATATATATTCGTAATAATAATAATAATGACATTTTGCAGAGTTACCATTTCATATTTTCATTGACACAGAAAACGGACAATGATCATTTAAATCGAGATATAATAAATTTTTAATTACTAAAATAATATAACACTAAAACTAGCTAGTAATTAAAAATTGTCCTCATATACTTAATAATTAAAGTTTTCCACGTGTTAATAAAAATAACAATATTAAATAAATATTTATTACATACTTTAATAATATAACAATTTAGTTATCTTTTAATTCTAATATAAAGAGCGGGTAGCTCCTAGGTTTTTTCATGAAAATAGTTAGCAGGAAATTTTTTCAAATATTTAATGTATAATTAGCTATCGCAATAAATAAAATAAAAATATAAGTGTATGGGCTGGTATGGGTCTATTTAGTAAGTGATGAAGTCACGATATGCAATTTTTTTGGTTTTATACCAAATAAAAATGAGCCCAATATTATATACGTGTATGTATATTTTTCAATAACTAGAAAATACAGTTGTATATAATAGTAATTGTTTCATTAACCTTAATAATAATAAAAAAAAAATAATATTTTCAGGAAATAATTAACTTTTTTTATTTTATTATAGAAGAAATAAATATAGGAATAGTTACGAAAATATAAGATAAAAGTAAAATTAAAATAAAGTTAAAGAAATTTTCTGATATTATTACTGTCCTTAATGTACATAAATTATAAAGAAAGAAAATTTTACTGATACGAGTATTGACTGGATTGTACGACACAGATATAGTTAGTAATTACTTAAATTAGTATACTTATAATGCTTATGAACTAAATCATAATTGAAAAATAAATCAATATTTTGAATATAATGAGAAAAATAAGTAAGAAAATTAATTAATATAAAATTTTTATTTAATTGCACAAAATTGCTTTAGGAATTTCATATAGGATTTATTAAAATTATTAGTTAAAAATTGAATTTCATATTTTTCATAATGTTTTCAATTTTCAATACTGGATATTGCGTTACGCAAATAGAACAAATGAATTCGAATCAAAAAAAGTAATCAGTTTTTAAATTGGCACATTTCGAAGAATTTCAATTTGTTAAAGAACATATTTTTTTCTAAGAATTGCGTTCTATTACAAATAATTTGGTATTATATCATAAAATTGCATATCGTTAGGGGCAGAACAAAATATTAAAGTCGACAATAACTTAATAATTTAAATTTAACGTAATTGAGTTTTTTTTAGAATAGTTCATTAATTTTTTTAATATGACTACATTTTATTGTCATCCTTCTATTTTACATAAAAATTTTATAAAGTCTGAAGTTTTGAGCAAATAAAATTTTATGAAAATTTTTATTTTATTACTTTTCAAAAGCATAAATGTTATTAATTTATAAATTAAATTATTTGTTAATGTCCGAAAATTTACCATTTTTGTAAATTATCAACTTCTGAGAACTTCTTGTGTAAGCCCAAATATATAGCAAAAGAGGTTATACAATCGATATTAATTTGATATATAAGTGATCAAAAAATTTCATTTTAAGTATTTTAAGCTTTATTGTTATTAAAAATATAATTACATATGCTTTTATTTGCCTGTATAACTACCACATTGATAGATAGCGCATATACTATATGTCATGGAGTAACTGCCAATGACTTAATTATATAATTGAAATAAATCACTAAACAATATGTTGAATATAGTAAAAAATAAGAATAGAATCGGTACACTTTAAATAATGTATAATAAATAAATTATTTGTGAAATTATGTCCTAACTGGAAATATCATAATTTTAAGAAAATATTAAAGCTTTACGTTTATTGTAGGTATAAATAATTTCCAATTAAGTTTTGTAATACTTATACCATTTGTGAAACAAATACGATGCGAATGGAAATTTTTCCAATAATATACAACTAAACATTAAGTTAATTTATAATATTATATACATTTTTGCAAGACAATTTTCAATCGATAAATAGATTTATAGTAGAGTCCGCTTAAAATAACCTCTGAGAAAATTCGTTAATTTTTAAATGTCATGGTAAAATATCTCAATTGTTAATGTGAATTCTTTTTATTATCAAATAAAATGAATGTCATTTCTAGAAGTAGTTCGTATAATTTGAAAAAGTTCGTTTCTATACAATTTTAAAGTACTATTTTTTCGTACTTTTATAGTTAAATATTTAATAAAAACTTTTATATATATGAACATATTTACAAAAAAATTGCAAATTACGATGTTACATATGTAGTAGTAATATGGCATTTTATTGTGACTTAGTTTATTTTTACAATCTGGTATATTAAAAAGATTTCCTTTAGTTTCATATAGTGTAAAATTGAATAAACCTTGTTTAATATTAAAATTCACGGTTATTATCACCAAATTCATGAAATTTTTCATGGGATTTTAATTGGATTCTACTGTACTTTACATTTTACCAAATACACTAATTATGGAGCGTATTAATTTTTCTTAAAACAAAATAATTATCTATTTATTGAGTCTAATAATTACAATTTTCTTTTTTTATAGATATGAAAATGAAAACATGATGGAGAATAATAATTTAATATTAAAGCTATAACAAAATTTAAATATTAATTTTTCATATTCAAAATCAAAACTAATAGAAAAAATAAAAACTAAAGAGTAAACATGCATAAAAATATTAAAAATTTTAATTTGTTTAAAGAAATGGCATTAAAATTTTAAAATATTGAAATTATTCAAATTTAAAATGCCTTAACAAATTATTTTATGATCTTTATATAAAAACAAATTTTAAAAAGCTTTTCTGTCTATAAAAACATTAATTTTTTTTCTTTTTCTGTTATAAAATTTTGGAAATTTTTAAATTAAAAAACAACAAACATTTGAATAAATACAAAAAAAAAAATTTAATTTTTGAAATATAATAATGAAAACTGTGTCGAACACAGTGTAATAAATATATATATATAGTCCACCGAAATTGTATAACAACATATCGAAAATAAATCTTAAAATTTAAAATACAAACAAATAAATTCGGTTTCCTTTTTATTTTTCTTTTTCTATGAAATTTAAATTTTAATTCCTTAAAAACCTAAAAAAAAAATCAAACAAGGAAAACTTTTTAAATAACAAAATAACATACAATTAAAATATTTATGTACGAATTTAATATGAAATTTTATTAAAACTTTAAAATGCATAAAATTATGCCAAAAAAAATTTAAAATTAATTCTTTTGAAAGCACAAAAATAAAAGTTCAAATTTAAATCTTAATTTCTCATTTTTTATATGAAAAAATTAATGGCAACATTAATTCATCAGCAACCACCATATTCAACATTAATAAACAATGTTTATATACATAAAGATGTTTATAGGTCTATAAAAAACAATTTTTGTAAATAAAATGAACACACACCTGTTAATTAAAATTTCAGAAAAAAAAAACAAAATAAATAAAATTCATACGTGTTTAAAACTCTTATAACTATAAATTTAATTAATAATCTGAAAATTTTTCACCTATAAATTCTTACAATAGTTTCATAAATTTTCGGGGAAAAGAATTGAATAATATTGAATAACGTGGTGAATTTAAATTTTTATTTTTTGTTGTTTTCTTATACCTTATTTCAAATTACAGAGTGTAATAATACACCATATATATATACATATAATATGTACAATTAAAAATGCAACAGTTTATGTGCAACAATGTTGTTAAATAGTAGAATAATTGTGATATACTCATATACATAATATATGTGTAGATTGATTATAAAGTAAATGTTTAATAAAAAATTATATTTGATTATGTGTGTATTAATTAATATATATATATACATATATAGTTAATAAAATAAGTGTTAAAATTTGAATTATAACTTTATAACTTAAAATAATGTTAAATATAAATAATATTGTGATTGATAATATTAAATATTTAAAATAATTAAAACATTTCAGTATATTTAATTATTCCATTTATACATTCAAATATATTTTATTCATTTAAAAAAAAGTATTTTATAAATTTTAAATTAAATAAGTTTTTTTTTATATTTTTTAAAATATTAAAGAATTAATTCAAATATTTTATTAATTTTTTTTTTGTAATTAAGAACAATTTTATTTATTTACTTAAATTAAAAAAATTAATATATTACTAAAGAAATAAATCATATACAGTACATGAGTTTATAATATTTAAATATATATAAATAACTATGATAAAAAAATGAAGATAAGAGGTCAAAAACATTATGGCATTTTTTTAAAAGGCAAGAAAGGATATTACAATAAAAAGTTTCCTTTTAGACAAAAACCTCTTAAAGTATGATAAAAATTTTAATAAAATAAAACAAAAAGAACAAAAATTTATATTAATAACAAAAAATAAACTAAAAATTAATAAATCTGCAAAAAGCACAAATACAAATTCAATAAAAGAAAATAAAAGTTCCTTTCATGTAAGTTTTTACAAATACAAGCATACAACACAGTCTATGTATCTACAACAATTACAATATTTTAGAAGAATACCTATATAACAAAAACGAAAAAAATCAAAAAATTATTTTTATCAGCCAGCTTCTTGAATAATTATCATCTCTTAAATATAGGATAGCAACAACAATATAAAACATATGAAATTAAAATTTGTGAACTCTCTCAGTCAGCTTTGATTAACTCAAAAATTTGTCTTATAGTTTTTTCAAAAATCAACAAAATTATAGTAGAAAAGGAAAACTACATATTGAAACAAAAGAATTTAGAGACGCAGAGAGAAAGACAAAAAAGAGAGAAAGAGAGTAGAAAAGTTTTTAGAGCAACATTTTTGCAGCATCCGAATTTGTAAAATTTTCCCCTTTTTATGTTTTCTCTCTCTCTCTTTGGCTACATTATAAGTAAATATACAAGGATATAGTACAGAATAAAAATTATATTTGACCTCGAATTGTGGGTGGTTTACCACCTCAATTTTTGTTTCCTTGCGATAATTTTTGTTTTTTCCTTTCTTTTCATATTTTTTTTTTGAAACAATTAGTTTTATGTCCCATTTTATATACAAATGTAAAAAAGAGAAAAAATATAAAAACAATTTCTATATTTCTTTTTTTATATATACGCATATATAATAATGAAAAAAAAGTATATTGTAAGTTCTCTCACGGCAATAAAATTACAAAAACAAAAGTAACAAGAAAAACGGAAAAAAGGATATTCAAAATCTGAACTAAAACTACAAGTATAAAAACTACACGTATATTTATTTAGAGAAAAAAAAAAAACAAAAAATATAAATTTCATATTAAAGTACAGAAACAATAACAAAAACAACATCAATTTATAGCAGCAAAAAAAATAAAACAAAAAAACAAAAATAAAAAAATAATATCATCTTAACTTGTTTCAATTTGATGACCATGAGGAGTGGCAGTTCTGAACTATTACTCGAACAGCAACAACAAGAATTACGGTTACGTAAAATAAAGGAACTGGCGCCTAAAAAGAAAAATGGTAATCGACGTTTTAAATCATGGCGTGAACGTGTTCGTTTTTATGGTACATCAACATTGGCATTTTTTTCGGTAACAGCTGGTGCATCATTATTATTTTTGGTACCATTATATGTTGATCCAGCTATATCAACACTTAGTCATGAATTTATTGATACACCAACATTATGTACAACTGTTAGACGTGAAGATCGTATTGGTATATTTAATTGTACATGGAGTTCATGTCGCGAAGGTTGTACATCAGATATGTACAAATGTACACATATATTTGTAACATTTATTGAACAAAATATAACAATACCAGAAAATTATACAAGTAGTATATTAACAAATTTTACATCGGATATGGAACAATCAGATGAAGCAACATTATTAGTTAATATTAAAGGTTGCGGTTATCCGCCAAGTGTTAAATGTAAACAATTTAATGATTTTTATGGTATTGAAGGTGCTATTTATCCGTGCTATTATTCAAAACGTAATAAAACTGTTGTATTAACAAAATATAATCGCGAAGAACAAATATCAATGATTGTAAATTTTTTTGCAATACCATTTGTTGTAACTGTAATATCATCAATAGGTTTATGTATTATGCATTGTGATTGTAGATGTAAAAAAGATCGAAGTCATCGAAGAGGTCGCGGTCAAATGAGACGACCAAGAATCGATAATTTAAGGTAAGTGTTTTTTATTTTTTTTTTCATTTTTTTAATTAAAAAGTTTTATGTTTTTGTGTTTTTTGTGTAATTTATTTAAGCTGATTAATTTAGTTTAACAGTTTTTTTTATAATATGTAAGCAATTACATATAGATATACGTGTAAAATAAATAAAAATAAATAGTAAAAGTGAAACCTTTTTAAAAAGTGAAAAAAAAAAACAGGAAAAAATTATTTTTTCTTTAAGCGTAAAATGTTGGACTTTTCTCATATATCCTTTTTAATTTTTTGTGTCATTTTACATAAAAAAGAATTTTATTCGATTCTAAAATCGATAAATCGATTTGTTTCTCAACTTTTTATTAATTCAAATCGTAAAATTGTTGTGATATTTGTAAGTAGTGTTTTCTCCTCTCATTATTCTTAATTTATGTGAAATTTATTTAATAGAAGAACAAAACAAAAAAAAAATCAAGAAGAACAGAACAAAAAAAATATGTTTTGATGTTTTTCAAGCGACAATTTCTCTACATATAGAATTTTTTTTTTAAAGATAAAAATGAAACGTGCAAATGTTGTAGTAGGGGGTGGAAAAAAAAATAAAAAAAAATTCTAATTTTTTCTTTTAATATCACGAATCACATACTTTCAGGCGTTTTATTTTTCTTTTCTTCTTATTTGTATTTGTATGCTTTCTTACTTTTCGTTTACAACAAAAAGAGTGATTGTAAAAATCTCGTGTATTATAAAATGTTAAGAAAATATTATAAATTTAATTTTTCGTTTCAAATATTTAGATTAATTGAAAATTTTGATTATTTATTTGTTTATAATATTTATGTACAAATAAATAATATATTTACTGTGTAAACCTATGTATAGATATACTGTGTATATCTATGTTATAAAATATACGAAATAAATATATAAAGAGCATTGAAAACTGTTCATCTTTGTGCTCCTCACTTGGCTGTTTGTTTTTGTTTTCACTAAATTCGTGAAAACATTATATTTATGATGTATAAGAGTATGTATAATATTATATACATACAGTGATTATTTTTATAATTTTCATCAGCCTAGTAATATATTCAATATACTCGTACTATATGCCTATTCTTCTATAAATATTTCAAAATAATATTAAATCTATATATTTATGTACGAGCTAAATTATTTAAAATAGCCGTGTTCGACATAAGTTCGTTCGCAATTCTCTTTATTAATACAATTACATGATAGCAATCTTCACGTATCATTTTCAATTTTTTAGTAATATATGACTGCGATTATACTCCGAATACAATAGCTTGGATTCCGAAAATAGCACGTTTAAACATGTTTTTTTTTTAATTTTCATAATATTTTGAGAAAAAGTAAGACATTCAATTGAAAAACAGTACATTAATTAGAAAAGATAGGATTCTCATGTGAAAGTAATCAAAAAAGGTGACTGAAAAAACAAGATGCAGACTGCAGGTTTTAATTATTATAATAGTTGATAAATTATTTAGTTAATTTGAAAATTTTAATGATATGTCACGCTTTTCTTTCTTTTAATTTCTCTTTCACAATGTGTTTAAAATCTTATATTGGGGTCCATGTTAATTGGTATATTTTAATATTCTGGGTTTATAATTTTATTAAAAGTATTGTGGTTCTTCACTTTGATTTCACTAAAATTAAGAGCTAAAAAAGGCTAATAGAAATTTTCTACCGTAAAAAATAAAAATGTTTGAATTCCATACTCGCGTTTTTAAAGTTTGAGACTTGTGTATATATAATAGTGTTATATGCAAACTTATATTTGTTAAATAAATCTTATATATTGTACTCGTATATAGCTTATCTAAACATCAATTTTAAAATTTTCAATAAATTACGTGGAAATTTCAAAAATATGTTTGGTATTATAAAGAAGTATGAAAGGCATGATCATACATAAATTTATATTTTCTTTATAAAGTGACGAGAAATTTTTATATACTCGTATTGAAATGCTTTATGATTACTTTAAGGATGTTTCTCTAAAATTTAGGTATACCTACATATATGTATATATATATAATTTTTTAATTAATTTTTTTTTTATGGTAATACTATCTTAGATATTTTAATATACTTAATGTATATAAAATTATATATTATTAGATAAGAAATTTTTAGACTTGCTATTCTATATAGAAATCATGATGAAATAAATAAATTTGATGAATTTTTAATAAAAATAAGATTACGAATTATTGTGTTATTTCTGAATGAACTGATGATGATTGCATGTGTTACAAACTCGACAATTTTCTTTTTTAACAATGATGATCATAGTTACTAAATTCATGCTATAAGTGAGATATGATTAAATAGCAACAGAGGTTCTTTAATATTTCGACAATCGTTCTCAGAAACAATGACGTTTTACTAAATTTCTTTGTACAGAAGTTACTAAAATACGTTCTAATTTCTTTCGAAGTTCTAATTAAATTGTTCGAACCATATTGTGCATTCCTTGTAGGCTTAAATTTAAATTATGACTTATTATATTAAAGGAAATTGTATGAGTTACTTATAGTTTTGGAGTTATTTTTGGGGCATATAACATATTTCAAACCCGACTAAAAATCAATATCTGGCCCGTACTTTAATTTCTAGTTTTATGTTTTCTTTCAGTGAAATGTTAATTTAAAAATATTCGTTTGTTTATAAATTAATATTATAAGTTTGATCTTGTCTTACTTCTCTAATCTCTAGCCTACTATCCTCTTTAACTAGCTTTAATTTTGTTAAGAATATATATTAAGATTTTTATAATCGTTAAAAGTTAAAAGATTTTTGAAAAGTTTTATATATGACCTCTGTTTGATAAATGACGAGCTACTCGTTTCTGAAGGAATATCATATGTACTAGTTAATAATTTCAGAAATTTCTTGAAATTTGATTCTTGAATTCTAATGTTTTTTATTTTTAACAATATTTTGGTTTCTAAAAAGTGAACTTCTAATGATTTAATTTCCTCCTTGACATTAACTGAAAGATTACTACAGTTTTCTTAAAATTTGAAAACATATATTAATCTTTTAGTTAATGTACTTGAAAATATTATTAAACATGTTTTAATAATATTTTCACAATCTTGCAAAACATTTCTGTTAAACTTATATTTAAAAGTAAATTAATTAGAACCTCAAAATTTTATTCAAAGGGGACACCTTTCTGTCAATTATTGCTGCCACGTTATAGATTTTTTTGCAACCCTCCTATATGTTATATAAAGTGTATATCCACTCTGCTACGACATATGTAACACAACATTTGCAGTTCCATAACATATATATTTTTGATCGGAATCAAATTTTAATTTGGTTGTTGAAACGCTATTTTGAGAACGTAGACTGCAGAATTATATACTTGAAATTCGGCACAAATGTATACTTTTTACTATATGTAGAACTGTTTTTGAAATGAACAAGATTGAACTGGTACTTCTCTTTATTGCTAAAAAACACTCGTAACGTCTACATCTTTTGCTTGGAAACTTTGAACATCACTGTTCTAACATCACAGTTCAAGGTTAAAGTCCTTTAAAATACTGGTTTAATATGATCATAATGAATTTATGACTTTAATACTAATAGAGTTTTGCACGCAAATTTTTCAATATTTTCTAAAGATTATCAAGAATATATTCTTGATTATAGCCACAGTCTTAATTAATAGCCACAATAAAATAATTTGAATACTTATTAAGTACATACAAATTTCAAAGTAGTTCTTTTAAAATACCCTAATAAATTTACCGAGTTTTCAAGTTTTGATTTCAGTTTTATAGAATTCAATTCCGAGTTTTTGAATTCCGTTATAGTTTTGGCATTAAATTTAGACGAAAACAAAAATTAACTTTTTTATTTTTTTCTTTAGTAAAAGGGTCTTGGCGAAGCATTGGAAATTAGTCCATCATCGGAGCAATGGAACATTTTTGTATATTTTGTGGAAAATATTGTTGTTGTTTCATGCACAAAAAATATAAACTGCTTTGTTTTTGCTAGTTTGAAATATATTCGATCTATAATCCTAGTGCCTAATTTAAATAATAGTTGGAAAGGAACCACTAAACATTTATTTAAGCTTTTTTATATTACAATACTGCTTTTTTATATTACCTGTAATTTTTTACTTTGTAATTTAAATTTTGCGCTAGGTGGCTCACCTAAAAGGATTTTTTTTACAACGATGCATAATTACAGGACTTAATGTGATTTTTTTATAATATTACATGATCTCGTGCATTGTTTAAAATGTAACTTTTTAAAGTCAATTTTAATTTTATTTTCTGGTTTTAAAAATTGCTGAAATATTTAGCAATTATGCTGAATACTATTAAACTTAATAGAACTATGTACAATCTCGTATACTCGAGTAGTCATGTAATTTTATTTATCTGATTGGAGCCTAAATTTATTGTCATTTGTAAAAACCTATTATTAATTTTATTCTAATCATAATCAAGAAAATTTTATAAATTATTTAATAAAAATCTATTTCCAAATCAAAATTCTTCGCGCAACAAACACTACACAGGGACAAGATCTACAAAACAAAATTATTTTTTGTTTGGCTTTTCTTTATAAAAAAAAACTTTTCAAAAAGAAGAAAACAAAATAACTTTTTCCATATATTTACAAAAAAACAAAATTAATATTTATCCCAAACGTGCAATTCCCCAATCTAATATTAAACATATGTTATAAAAATTAAGTAAAATGTTTACAGCAAATAGAATAAAATATCCTCTTGTAAATATTCTATTAAATTATATGGTATTATAATAAGTTTTCAAGGTTCAAAGTATGTGTATATGTAGTTATTTTTAACTTTTTTTGTTTTTTTTGTTCTTTAACAAAAGGGGAGCAGAAACAAAAAAAAAATAATCTCGAATTTATTATAAAATGTTAGTTTTAGTTTCCATTCTCTTATATATACCTACGTATATACCTTCGCCTTATATTAGAATTATTCTAAGT